GAGGAGAGGAGAGGAGAGGAGAGGAGAGGAGAGGAGAGGAGACGAGACGAGATGAGACGAGATGAGACGAGACGAGAAGGGAAGGGAAGGGAAGGTAATGAATTGGATGAGATGAGTTGAGATGAGTTGAGATGAGGGGGTTGTATCTCCTTTGCACGCTTCTCCCGTTGCTCCCTCCAATCCAGAACTCCCTCATCCTGCAGCCTCTTCCTTCGCAGCTCATGCCAACCAGACTGAGGGGTGGGTCTGTGCACGGACGAGGCAAGGTCCAGGATATAGTTGACGGCGACTTCGACGACGGCATGTGCCCATGTGGCGATCCGAGCTGCACGAGCAGGCTGAAGCACCCGCAGACGGCAGAGGACTTGAGGAGGAAGCGGTACAACGACATCGCCACTGAGCATCTCCAGAAGCTCGCCAAGGGGGAGCCTGCCACCATGGAAGAGCTGCCGATGGACATGCAGGAGTGCCTGGTGCACGAGATCCGCCATGGCGAGCTCAAGGAGATGTTCAAGCCAGTGACGCCATGGTGGAAGGTAGCGCCCTTCGGGAACATCTCGCGAGCTGAGGGAGACAAGAGGGACGTCGCCTGCTCCAAGGGGGTGGAGGAGACGTCAGAGAGTATCGCCTTCAACGGGAGGGAATGCGGGTCGTACAGTTGGGCGCAGGACAGGGAGAAAGTTTGTTTCTTCATGTTTGTAGACAAGCAGGTTCAGAGCAAGCAGATTGACGTGCGAGTAGCACTGCAATCGCTACTAGTCTCCATCGACAAGGTCCCGATCCAGAGCATCCGGCTGTCGTATCCTGTGCGGTGCAGCGAGGAGGCGACTGAGGACTGTTGGGGGCTGACGACAATGATGGGGAGGAAGCTACTCAAAGTCACTCTGTACAAGAGCATGCTAGGGCTGCCGGTAGACGCGCCGGAGCGAGCGGAGGGCTTGTGGTGGAGGTCGTTTTCTACCCTGGAAGAAAAGATGCCAGAGGATAGAGTTGTAGACAAGAAGTCGAGCATGGAAGAGGTAGTCCTGCGGCACCAGAAGCCATTTCATGCTCCTCCTCCAGTCGGTGTCGAGATCGATCCAGAAGCCCTCAACTTCCAATGGTGCGAGCATTTCGACCTGCAGTTCCTCGACGTCCTGGTCGCCTACTGCTCGGTCTACAGGTGGGATGTGGGGAGAGAGGAGGAGGACGAGGAGGAGAAGGAGGAAGGGGGAAAGCAGGGTGACTTTGTGTGCACAGGCAAGTGAATGGTAGGATGACGGAGGATCCTGTCGGAGTCAGCTCCATGCTTCAATCCTCGTCGCACTCGCTGCGGCTCCTGCGGGATCGCAGCTTCACTTGCTACGCTCAAGTTCTCAGCTCTGCAGCCTTGGAGCTGCACCCGCTAGTCTCAGGGACAGCGCAGGAGAAGAATCTGCTGATGCTGCAGATCCTTCAGGACGTTGAGGCGATCCTGTCCAGCTACGAGGCTCCTTTCTACGCCCTCTCAGGCTGCCTTCAAGTGATGGAGAAGGCAGAGGCGATCCTCTGGGAGAAGGCGGAGGAGGGCGACAGAAAACTGATCACGTCCAAGGAGGTCGAGGAGGTAACGCTCTCTTCCACCTCCCCCCCTCCCTCCTCCTCCGACGACGACGACGAAGAGCACGAGGATCGCATGGTAGCAGTTCATGACCCTGACAAGAGCAAGCGCATGCTCATCAGCAAGAACAGTCGTCGTGAGAGCCTGGAGCTCGCTTCTCGAGCTGACGACCTCAGCTTGGCTTGTGAGAAGGTCCAGGACATCCTCAGCTGTCTCTGGGTCGCCAACATGTCGTACAGAGATGAGGTCAGCCACGAGCTGAGATGTCTACCCCAGCTGACTTCCAGCAGATGCTGACGGAGGTGAGAAGAGCGCAGCAGGCCCACATATTCTGCTCGACCATCGAGAACTTGACGTTGGTGGACCAAATGACGGTGACGAGTGACGTGTACAAGGTGCCTGTCAGTCCCCGTTGACGAGCTGAGAAATGACAGCGTCAAACTCCCCCAGCACTTTGCCATCAGGGACTACATCATTGAGGATCAGCGACGCCTTGTCAAGCTGGCGGAAGAGAAGATGAAGGTTTGACAAGCTCTAGAGTCGCCAAGGCCCTGCTGACGTCGCCCTGCAGCAGCCTCCCGTCAAGTATTCAAGCTCCTCCAGCTGGTCAGACCCGGAGTTCTTCTATTTCGGGAGGGCAAAGGGGCAGGAGGCGGAGGAGGAGGAGGGAGAGGAGGAGGGAGGAGCTGATGAGCGTGAGGAAAATGAGGATGAGAATAGAGGAGGCAACAAGGGAGAAAAAAGCAGCAGGGGAAACAAAGGAGGAGGAGGAGGAGGAGGAGGAGGAGGAGGAGGAGGAGGAGGAGGAGGAGGAGGAGGAGGAGGAGGAGGAGGAGGAGGAGGAGGAGGAGAGACTGGGGTTGGGACGAAAGAAGACTAAGATGAAGCATTTGATCAAGATAGAGCAGGAGTAGGAGCTGGGTATGAAGAAGATAGGAGAGGGTACGGGGAGGAAAGGATGGAGATTCACGATGGGAGCGAACTGAAATTCGTATGTGGCTCCTATACTGAAAGACGAGGAGTGACAGACAACAAATTTACAAAACCTCTTTTGATATCCTTTTCCTGCTCCTGCTCCTGCTCCTAC